TGACTCCATGGGAAGCTCGTGTTGGAGCTGGACTCCATGTTCCTGGACTTTCATGCCAGGAAGAGCAGCAGAGGTGAACTGACTGAACCCCCATTCCCTGCCCACTGTGCTGTTGGGGGTAGAAGGTAGAGAAATCAGGAGCAAAGTGATTTGAGCCCGGGAAGAAGGGAGGGGTGGGGGGAAGGTGGTGTGAGATGTGGTTGTTGTGTCTCACTGTGCTACTCGGATGAATGGCAATGAATTAAATTGATTTTTCTTCCCCAAGTTGAGTCTGTTTTGCCCATGACCATAACTGGTGAGTGAGCCGTCCCTGTCCTTCATTCCTAATCCTGTGCCCTCTTTGTTGTGATTCCCTTCCCATCTCGCCGGGTGGGGGGAGCGAGTGCAGGACCACATGGTCTTCCTGTAAACCACCACACTGATGAACTGAAGTCACAGAACATCAACAAACACTGATTGAATTCAACAATTGTTTGTTTCAGATTAGAGGTTTTACTGCAGAACAGATACATTACACTGAAAATAATAACCATAAAAAAGACTAAAATAATGATAAATACATGTCTGAAAAGATGGAGGGGGAGTGGAGAATCACAAAGCCTCACCAATTAGACAGACATACTTCATAGGTCACTTTATCCATTCTTATTGAAAGCAGAGTTGTTGCTTCCTTTATATTAGTCTGTCTTATCTAGTTTATAGAATCCATACTATATTTTATTTGAAAATTAATTGATTTTGAAAACATTTCAGTAATCGTGTTTTATGTATTATTATTAATACTATGATTAAGATTCTAATTGGCCACATAACTCTATACGGATGATAAGGCTTATTAAAAAAATAATGTTCATAATGACAGTCTATGATATATAATGACATTATATGGCAAAAATGACAGTGAGAGCCTTTGTCACATTTAATTAACAACAATGCATGTGCACAGTAGTTAGTACAGATTTCTTTTAATCTCTAAACACTAATACACACAAATAACCAGTTCTGTTAGGCTGCCATATTTGCAGAGCCCTTTTGCTACCATGGTAGAGAACTCTGTCAGGAGGCTGCACTGAAGAGGGGCTGAACCAAGCTCCACAGCCCTCGGGCTGCTGACGGCCAGGTGCTCTCAGTCTCCAAGAGTCTCCACTGGCTGTACTGCTTGTTGTACCCACTACCAGCTAACCCCTCGGGTGCACCAACGCAGACCTGCCTGCTCTCTGAGCCAGCATGACAGTCCTTGTGACTGCAACCACAAACAAACTACCAGGACACCAAGAGAAAAGCAGTCAACAAAACCAAAAGCAACATGAATTGAAACTAACTTGCAGATCATTTTTTTCCTTACAAAGCCCTGTAACTGAAAACTATTAATGACTAATAACTTCTAATAATGACCTAAATATTTTAAAAACAAGTCTATGTCAGCTATATGTATACAAAAAAACCCCATTGATAGGTGTCAAAATTCCCACCCCTGTAACCCTAGAAACTTCAGAATAAACTCAAGATGACTGGTTAGTGCGAGTATTTAAGTTCTTACCTTATCTTTTGTTAAAGCGTGTTTCTTGACAATTTTGGGTTGATTATTCAGTGTAGTGATAGAAGAACAGTTATACTGACCAAGATCTGCCTCTTGTACACTTTTACCTTTACCTGTTCTTCCCAAAGGCACAGGTTTTGCAACCTAAGAAATCAGACAGGACATTAGGAAAGGAAATATGCCAATTTTATATTCCTTTGCAACCTACAGAAAAGATGGTGGGATTTTTTTCCTCTACTTTAGAAAATAGTAACCTACATAAATCCAACTAACTGCCCCCTGAATTGCAGTATAAGACTACTTTCTAATTTTATTTATCATCAACACACTGTCAACATCTTTGAAGGACCAACTGAGAGCAACAGGAAATAGGAATGATACAAAATTCCTGCACAGAATACATGCCAAATAATCTATTCTAGTATTGCAGAATCACAGAATCACAGAATATTAGGGATTGGAAGGGACCTCAAAAGATCATCCAGTCCAATCCCCCTGCTGGAGCAGGAACCTAAACAAAATTACACAGGAAGGCGTCCAGGCGGGTCTTGAATGTCTCCAGAGAAGGAGACTCCACAACCTCCCTGGACAGCCTGTTCCAGTGCTCTGTCACCCAGAAGCACCTGCGTAGCTGTATGAGATGTGAATTTATCAAAGGGGACACAGCTCCCCATGTCAGTCTCTTGCACAGCCTACCACCTTATGTCGGGATGAACGAGCTGCTGCGCATCCCCCATCACGCTAATGAGACGACAAAGGAAAGAAGCGACCATGAAGTAACGCACGTCCTCAGGTAAGTGCAGTGACTGCTAAAAGCCAGCAGATCTCGTTTAAGTCACACAGAACCCATGAAGTTCCCATGTTACACAGGTGAGGTGGGAAGCACGGGGGCCCAGATACTCAAAATGTTCTTAAAGCTTTAACTCCCACAGACATCTGCACTCAATGCAGCAACAAAGATGAATTTATTGTGAGCAAAACTGGTGTTTGGAGACAAGTACATTTTATACAGGATTAAATATTCCATTAAATACGCTCCCTTAAGTATACATGAATATAAGCAGGATGGAGTACATGAGTATAGATATGCAGGATGGAGGAAGAACCACACCTCACCCACCCCTCCTCCTCTCAAATGAAAATCCCAAGTCTCACAAAACCAGAGTATGTGCCTTCAAAGGAACACGGTTCCTCTGCTGCTAATGGGGGCATTCTGTGAAATGCTGAAAACACCAGAATACATATATTTAGAGTCTACCCATTTTTATACTGTCTCATCCCGTAGGTACACTTCAGCCCAAGGAACTCAAGTTCTCTAGATGCAAACCAATAGGCTAGAATCTAACTTTCTGGACCTTAAAAAAAAAAAAATTATAATCACTCTATTCATGTAAGTATATACTAAAAATACTACTAAATTAAACTAATCTCAGACTTACATATACTGTAAATTACAATGGTCATTTGTTCCAAGTTTGGACAAATTTAAAAATATATGCACTTAATGAGATTGTATGTCTATACATACATGAATAAAATCATATAATTAACAGAGGCATGACAGTACATGTATTGATGGACAAGCATACATTTTTAGGCTTGAAATCAAAACTGTGTGTATATCCATAAACATCTTCAAAAAGGTACGTAAAAACCATCCACTGTAAGCAGTAGTTATTTATTACATATGCTGTTTCTTACCCTCTCCTCTATTATAGGAAGTGAAAGATCAATGAAAGGTTCTTTTACTGTTGAAATCTTCAAGAGAAAGAGAAAATGCATATTAAATGCAAAGAAGAATATATAGGTTTATCACATAGCTCCCTTTTTAAAATCAAATTATTATCAGAAACTATATAAAAAGCTAATTAGTTACAAGATGCATCAAACTACAATGAAGAACTTCCCACAAACTTTTTTTTTTTTGTAAGTTAGCCCTGATTTTCTTTCTAACACTGCACAAAATTTCAGCATACAGAACAAAGTCACTAATCTGGGCACAAACTGGACCTAGAAGCAGCATGGTGCTCAGTTTCACTGAGCTCCAGACAGATTTTCAAGTCATGTAGGCCTTCTAGATGGTAGGATTCTGCAGAAAGCTAACTTGGAGAGTTTCCTGAGCCTGGGCACTTCCACACAGGCGTCTGACCTCGCACAGTGTTGAGCAGCAAGGACTGGTTAATGACAGTTAGATGACAGGTTCTAACCTGATGCTCTCCAAAAAAATTAAGTCAAGCTTACTGGTTACAGCCGAAAACTTTATTAGAAATTTTCACGCCATAATATACACTAGTAATTGTTAAAACAAATCCAGTTACTGGGGAAAAGGGGACTGAAAAAGACTCAAACTTATTTTCTGTACTGAAGCTTTATTTTGCCATCTATAAGCCATATAAACTCTAAGCTGAAACTGGAAATATCTGGCAAATCATGCCTAAAGGCATTCTCTCTTTATGACTAGAATATCTCATCCAAGCCTGTTCCTTAAGCTCTCTCCTTTGCTGTTCTCAAATTCCTTCCAAAACTGACTTATCTTACCTCTGGAAAGACTGAAAAACAAGGCCTTAAAAAAAAAAAATAATGTTCTACATGTCAGTTACTGAACATGTCATGCCCTCACCTGCTGTCACCATTGCCCTTCTCTTACATTGGTGACCACCTGCAACATTTGATATAGACTGTAGGCTTATTTCTACCTGTTGTGCAAGGCACTCAGCATGGTTTAGCAACAAATGAGATCAAAACTATTGTAACTATGATGACTGACTGCCTGGTGAGCAATGTTCAAACAGGGGTTCCTCTAAAGAGTGAGTTTGCATGAATAAACATTGGTCAAAAATATCTTTGCCAATGCAGGTAAAGGAAAGCAAATGTTAAACTCTTCCCCAAAGGGCTACAGCTAGGAAATTCCCGAGTCCTCTGCAGGCAGAGTAGAAGAATCCAGCAAAAATAACTGAGGCACGCAAAATACATACAACTTCTATTTTGTATATAGTAAAAGTTCTTCATTGATAACTCGTAGCATATTGAAGTGTAATCTGCACATCACACAGAGGGAAGTTTACCTGGTAGTGCAGGACTGTGCTTAATTATTCAATTGAATAATTGATTGATTGATTTACTTAATCTCTATAATGTGAAATAAATGTTTTAAACCAAACACAAATGTAACATTCAATTAGAAAAGTCATGCAAATAAGGTTTTTATCTTCCAAAGTTAAAGAAAATTATAAGGATCATGGAAAGCATTTATGATGAAATGTCAGTAATATTAATTATGAAAGGAATATGCTGTTTATTAGAGTTATTACATTAATTATCAAAAATACTTCAAGAAAAAAAAAAAAAGTAATTTTAGCATTTCCCCACTCATACTAATTCAAAGTAAGTAATTCCCAATTTTCAGGTATATCCCAGAAGAGTAGGCAGGAGGATTTACATTTTAAGATAGATAGCTGTTTTAAAAAATATCAAATAAAATTGGGGTGTAACACGAATGATTACAGAATTTGGAACCTCCAGCCTCAAGTCAGATGTAAAATCAAGCTCATCCTTTTTGAATTCAAAGGACCCCTCTTCTTAGGTTTGGGAGGATAATGCTTTAAAGAAGGAATAAGTCATTTTAAATTATAAACTTTCAATAAAGTCTTGCTTTTACAAACAAACAAACAAGTATAAAATTGGCAATACAATTTTATACTTTCAAGACAACGTAATCAAACCAGTATGTGATCTATTCCACATCAAACCAAATTCCAGAATACCTACATTTTCACATTCCTCACACATGACAGTGCTAGTCAATTCACCAACAAAGATCCTATCTATGAAGTTCATCTTCACACCCTCTCTTCCATATGCTGAAAAAACATTGCCTTTTTTAAATGTGAAAAATAACAGATCCAATGCCACACTATAAGTACAACAAAATTCTTTCCAAGATTTATTGTGAAAGCACAATTTTAAACATATTCAGAACATTTGAACACAATACAATAAGTAATACATCATATACTGTATTATCTCAACATTTAAAAATATTTTAGTAATATGATTCCTTTTTATCCTTCCCCACCTACTGTAACAGAATAATAATACTGCATCTCTCAAGAAGAAACCTTTTAAATAAAATCTCAGTTTTCTTTTGAATGCATAATACTGTGTTGCCTTGATATAAACACTAGGGTAGCAGACAGGTTGTTGCCCTCTCTAAATGGTTTTTGAAACTTTATAAAACTCTAAACATTGAGACAAAAGCCTGTTCTCATACATCTCTTAATGTGCCTTAACTGTTGCACATTTGGGAAGGGCGACTTTCAAAATAGCTTAATCATTATCAAGACTTTAATTAAAGAAAATCCTCAAAATTAGAACTTTTGCATAAACACACAGAGAAATTAATGAAAACGCTGCTGTTTGGAAGAAACATGCCTGCTTTTGAACAGCTTCCTATCTTGGCTTTGTAACGATATTTAGAGCGCTCGCAGTTATCAGTCAGCTGACAGAAATCAGTTTTATTTATGGGAAGTGGCCTCTCTGAGTGATACAATAATTGTGGCTATATAGCAAACCTGAAGATGCAGCAAACTATTTTAGAAAACAAAATTAAATTCTACCTATCATTACGAGAGGCATTATTAATACAGAGAAAGATTTTATACTGGGTACAAAGATGCAAACCAGCACATAGTAAGCTCTCTATCCTTTAGATATGCACTAGGTGGCACTAGAATAATATGTAATAGAAGTCTTGTAACTACAGTACTTTGCTGTTTGCAATAGTCAGTTTTAAAGAAAATGGTATTTAAGAACTTGTGCATTTTTAAAATTATTCAATAAAGAGTTGCATACCTTTGACTTTTCTTCTAGTTTCTTCATCTGCCGTCTTAGTAGTTGGATTATTAAATGCTTTTAAGATACCAGTTTGTATACGCTATAACAAAAAACAAACAAACATTTAGTATTTTAAGTGTAAACATTCTAAAAACTATTAATATATGATTAGATTTTATCTACTCTTATTTACATAAAATAAGCATAATTTAATATTTTAAAACTACTGTTGTTATAAATCTCAAAGCTACATGAGCTTAACTTTAGTAAGTAATCATCCAGAAATTTCCTCCCCTTAAAAAGGGAGCCGTAGTCAAGCACTCGAGAGGTTATCAAGAAACTAGGATTTTCAGTGAACAAATACTTTCCATTTCTTCCACTGCTGGGGGTGGGGGAATGCTAAAGAAAAATGGACTATTACTGATTGACTGGGATACAAAACACTTGAAGGCAGGTAAGCATCTTTAAATAGGCAGACTTCAATGACTGTGTTTGGACAGTATTTTTATTACTTCTGTGTACTTTCTAACACTGCACATTTCAAAGTTATGTTCAAAAACCTTAGGAGAGATACAAAACTTTTTAAGAATCCATATAAATGTCACTCACACTTGCTCAAAAAATCCTAAAAACTACATTTTTGAAAGAAGAATCAAAAAGAAGAAAATTCCTACAGGTGAGCTGTAGCTGCACCTCAAAACAGTGGTGCTCCCCTCTATTTCTCAGCTGCTGTGGGATGAGGAGACACTGTATTCCCACGAGGCATACCCTGGCAGTGGGACTGGGCAGGCTGGTACAAAAGGTGGCTCAGCCCAACCTCCCACACGCTGTGGAGAGGGAAGCCGGAGGCTGTGTCAGGTCCTTGGCCAAGGGACACTGCAGCGTCCATGATCCGTTCTCTCCCTTTTTCCTGGCACATGTAGCAGCTCTCTAATCCACAAACTCTAGTAACATGTACGAGTCTCTCACGTCACTGTGCAAATGACATTTACAATGACATGTGTCACTGAAGTTACACTTACAGCAAAGTAATAGAGAAAAAAAGTTCTAGAGACAAATAGTGATACCAAACCTCCTGCAAATAACTCAAACCCTATGTCCTAACAGAATAATAAATAACTCTTGTTTGCAGGCAGCAAATAACACTTTCAAGTCATATATTACAAAAGCATTGCGATGACAGACAGCACCAGAGGTTCGGTTTCCAGTCCAGACACCCATCAGACCAAGTCATACTCCTACCTTATGAGTATGTGACCTGGCTTGTGAATTAACTCCCACTGCCCCAAGCTCAGCTTTGTTCATCTTAAAGCCGACAATATACTAAGAGGACTAATCAATAGGTAATTCATGAAGTTGAGCACCATAAATGGGTTTAGGGCCATAAGCAACCCTTTTGTTGGGATTAGCGCGTTGAACCATTTATTTAGGTCAAAGAAAGACATAGTCTTTGAATGGGCAGGGTGCTGCGGACAATGGCAGCAGACATTAATCAATTAGCAGCAGGGTTCAGCCACTTCAGGCCCCGGTGTGAAACCATCTCTGGCCCACATTGCTGGAAACGGCAGATGCTATGTCATTTTTATTGTAGTATCGACAAGCTTTTATCTTAAAAATCCACTTGTGTACATACACATACGCACTTTCTAACTTTCTTTAAGAGGGATAGGAAAGAGTTCAACACTGGTGTCAGATACAAGGTACAAAACCACAGAGAAGAGGCAAAAGTGTAATGTGATTTCTTTTTTTTTTAGTTCCTTTAACTAGGGCCACGTTACGTATCGTATGTATGTCACCAAAACTCTTAGGGTTTAAAAGCAATTAATGCTGGTAGGGACAGGGGAGCAGGGATGGCCACGTTCAGCTCCCTCGCAGGTGGATGGCAAAGCAGCCGGCTGCCCTTTCAGCAGGGCTGTTCCCTCTTCCGACAGCAAAGTTCAGGAGTGCTGTGAAAGAGAAGGGGTAACGGCTGTAAGCCCTGGGGAGGTTCTGGTGGCAGACAGGCCGTGGCGGGCAGGCTGTCCCCAGCCGGAGCCCAGGCAGTGGGGAGGCCACAGGGGCAGCTGCTGGGCTCCCATGGTGGGCAGAGCTGCTCCTGCCCGGGTCCGGCCGGCACGGCGGCCAGTGCTCACCATGGGCCTAACGTTCGCCCTTTGTCAGACCACCTACAGACCCAAAACACAGGATAATTTAATGAAATCTAAAAAAAAAAATTAAAAAAAAAAAAAAAAAAAGAGTTTTCACGGGTATTGTCCCCGGTGGAGCAGCCTGAGGTGATGAAGACCTGTTTGCAGTAATGCATCGTCCAGGGAGCAGAGGGGCAGGGTGGGACCAACCTCACTCCGTCTGGTGATGGGGCAGCAGAAATACTGCCCAAAAGGTCACTTAAAATTCTCACCATCTTCCATCAGTTTTTTGTGGTAGCTACTGTAGCTGTCACCACTCTCTAACAACAAACAACTCAAAAGGCAAATACAAACGTGGGTTATCACAATGACAGCACATCCACTGGTGAAACAGCAGACTGACTTGAGGGGAAAGCGCAAGCACCCACTGGAGAAGCTGCTTAGTTGTTGTAATAATCCTGCTTTTGGTGAATCCTCGTTTGTGAAGCTAACATAGTTTCCATGTTTTATTACATGAAAGTCAACAAACAACAAAATAAAGTTTTCCTCTACTGCAAAAACATGACAGTTGTTTTTTAACTGAGGTCAGCTACTTCTGTTGCGTGCCCTGTTCAACACTTTATTTTATAAGTGTGACAAAGTCAAGGTTTATCTTTATGTCCAGTATACTGCTGACAAGACCAATATATATTAATATTCTGGTAGGATGGGGATTTGTTTGGCACTAGTCCAGCGCCAGAAATGAGTCTCGGACACAGCTCTGTATCTCATCTCCAAGATAATTCAGCTCTGGATCATAATGTTCATCACATTACTTAATGAGAGGGAAGAGGAAGTACACTGGTCAGTACGAGATTTAAGGCCCTCCTTTTGACAAGACTTAGAAAAGGCTCTTTATCAAAATATCATCTGAAAAGAAGGTTCCAAGACTAAATCAGGCAGGTGAAATCAGATATGATCAAAATAGTTCAAGCAAACAAAAACACACACTTTCTTGTATTCAACAATGCAGGAGGCAGAAATAACAAGGGAAAAGAAACATGAGAACAACCACATGAGGACATTTCTAATACAATATAACTTGTTATATACTTAGCATACTTAGATGTAGATTTTAAATAATGAAAAGCAGCACTTTATTTATAAAACAAGTAGTTCTTCACACTTTCAAAAGATATAAGAAACTTCGTAAGATTTTATTTTTGTCCTGGGTTTTTTGTTTGTTTGTTTGGGTTTTTTTTCCCATTTAACTAGATTTCAATGAAAATTATGGGCAGGCCCACAGCTAGGAACTAACTTCTGTCCCAAAGCTTTAAAATGCACTTTGCCAGCTAGACCAGAGGTTCTATATCTACTTTCTTGACTCCTCAGAAGTCTTTTTTTTGCCTTTTTATTTTTTTAATAAAGGCAAACAATTCAGATTCCTAAAGTTATCATGATCTACTTACCATACTCTCTATTGATTCCTGAAACTTTTATTCCAATCAGTAATTTTAACATACCAACATGAACATAATTAAATCCTCTTTCAAAAGAGTAATTTTTCTCAAGACAACAAAAAAAGCCACTCCTACTCCACTAAGCACATCTTAAAAACATAAGGAACATGAAGAACATTGAAGCAATGACTAGTAGTTTACCATACAGTCAAATGAGTTCTTTAAAAACATGCACAAAGATGTTACCTTTGTTTCTTCAATCCTCATTGCATCCAACAGATAGTGCAGAAGCTCCTGGCTGTCCTGCTGCTGGAACCCCTTAAATCGAGGAGCCCTAGGAAAGAAGCAGTAAGGAACTGAATTTTACACTGTGAGTTTCTTAATGAGACAAAGTCTTCATCAGACTCTTGTTGGATGCTGGGGTGCAAATAGGTACAATCCCTGCTGGACTTTATAGGGCTTTGGGAAGCTCCTGGTGTGGCTGCAATTACACCAACAAGGCTGCACTTTCATCTTGGGAGCATTTTGACCCTATTGGAGATGGCTTGACTAAAATACAGCTTTGCCAGTAGTTTCATCCATGCTAGCAGCACTTTCCTAACAGGCTACACCAAGACTTCTGTATCACCAAACAGTCCCAATGTCATGGAGAAAAGAGAAAGAAGATTTTCAGAGTGCTTAACCTCCCTTGCTATCTCACCCTTCTCTACATCAAGGAGAAATCTCAAATGTACATAAAATAGTCCATATATAGTAAACCATAAACAGCACTATTATCTAAACTGGGAAAACATGATCTTGAAATGGAAGGGAAGTCACAAAGCTATGCATCAAACATACAAACAAAAACCGTGGGTCAGAATCCAAATGAGAATTTCTTAACTTCTTAAACAAAAGTATGTGCAATCATCTCTTCTGAAAGGCTCCACAGTCAGTCAATCCAGTAACCTGCAGCTGACTGAACTGATGAACAGTCAATGAGTAAGATGGCAAACAACACATAGCATATGATTTTCAAATGCTATTAAGAAAACTTAAGAGAAAATTATAATAGCATGATATCCGTAATTTACACTGTATTCAATTACCCTTTTATGCTAAATTTCTTCAACTAATATTACACAGATTGGTGACAGATGTTCTAAACATACAATCTCTATTCTAAGAGCATTTCTAATCAGAAAAGCCAGGGTTTGGGGTTAGGTTTTCTGGCTAGGAAGAGTTAATCACTCTTATGTTACCAGATAAGAGTTACTCTTACGCTTGCTTCACAACATTTTAAAAGGACCTTTTAGCATCATGAATTACCAACTCACACCATGTCCACATCCAAACTCTTGTTCTGCAGTCTAACAAACCGCAATGCTTCTGAAACTCATATAAAACGTGTGGTACTACCAGAAGCAAACAAAACACAGCTTCATACCTAAAATGGAAAGAGCCTGAAACCAATGAGACAATCTCTTCACATTTGTTTTGATTGAGAAAATAAATTTGAATCCAGATTCCAAAAGCTATCAGGTTTGCAAAGGCAGGTAATAAATTGGTTACACATTGTCTGATGTCCCCCTCCCAAAGCTGCTTATGGGAACTCTATACCCAACTGGTCTGGACAGCAAAAAAATCTGAGATGACAGAGGTTCAAATTTCACAAGTTTTTTGCACTAATTCAAAGGACCCTTCCTTACTCACCCATCAAAACAACCAAGTATCTCAAGTACGTGGCTCCCACTGCATATTGAATACAAAATATTACAAAGGTTAGCTTTTTTTGCAACTCCTGAGTGCACCAAAACCAAGTTATCTGGACAACCCATGGAAGATCATAAATGATCCATGTGTTACGATGATTTAATATTGCTGCATTCCCTATCACCTTTTACTGACTTTACTAATCTGAACAGCCAGCACTAAAATGAGCATCCTGATAAGAGTGCTCTTTTCTCCTGCTAATCAGGTTACAGAGTGCTGGCGATAGTGGGGTCCATCCCATCCAAACTTTGTAACACTTGTTAGTCTCACTCCCATGCTGCACCTGTAAGGTCAGGCCAGCCCCAAACCCACCAGAATCAGTTCCCTCACGTCAGCCCCCCGTCAGGATTTCTCTGGCCATCCCCAAAACGGCAGTGAGCAGCATCTTGGGCTGAGCACATGAAGTGGCCTGCAGAAGAAAGCCATGAGGCTGCAGCTCTCCAGCTGTGACTTTGTTTGTGAGCGACAGGCACTTCTTGTATGACCATGTGCCACAGCCCTCCTTCTTACAATAAAGATGAACGAAGGAGGGTTTTTTGCAGTGGTTTGGGGTTTTTTGTTCGGTTTTGTTTGTTTGTTTGGGGTTTTTTGTTGTTGGTTTGGTTTGGGGTTTTTTTGTGGGGTTTGTTTGGCTGTTTTTTTTGAGATCCACATGAGCTAAAAAGCATTAGAGCCGCAACTGAAAAAGAAACTGCTTCTGCATAAAATAATAACGGCATTACTTTTGGGATGTGCAAATACTGAATGACTGTCTGAAATTCCCAGACTGCAAGCTCACCTTCTAGAATAATGTATACTGGCTACTCAGGTTAAACAGAGATCTAAATGGTCAAAGACTGCAACAGCTTCTTGAAAAAAAAACAAAACAAACAAAAAAAACAAATCAATGTACTTCCAAACTTCTAATCTCTAGAAATTAAAAAGTCTTACAGGAAAGGGTCTACACACCTGAGAAAATACAGAGTTAGTGTCGCCCTTGTCCCCTCAGGCTACACCATCCTTTGAGCTGTCCTCCTCTGTGGCGTGTGGCCACAGCACCAGCCGAGAGGAGCCAGCTTGCAAATCAGCCCAAGGACGTGGAAAGGACACTGGTGCTGCCTGAGTTTGTACTGCTGCACTTTACTGTGCATGACAAACAAAACCAAAATGTTCCATAAGAAAGGTGATTCTTTTTTAGTCTTTTTAGACCACCAGCAGCATCCACATGACCCTCATAAGCCAAAAGAAGAAAAATATTTGTTTCAGACTACGCTACCATCTACACCAGTGATGTTTTAGCCAACTGCACAGGGGTAATGTTGCATCTGTTCACAAGACAGCCATTCAGTAGCCTCAATCACTGCTACTCAAGAACTGCAGATTCCTTTTTTCTACTACTCACAGCACCTAAATGTACTCTAAATATCATATTTTGCAGGCATAGATTACACAGAAATTACACTTACAAATACATGGATAGATCCTTAGGGTGTTATCCTTACTAAAATAACCATAGCTAGAAGGCTTCTCATAAACAATCTGGACCTCCAGCTTCTTGCAACCCAAATGAGACTGTGTAAATATTCACTATTAACATATCTCTATTCACAGTAACTATAACTAACTGGCTAAACCATATCTGTCTTTCCAGACAAGTTACCCTTTAGATCTTTAATTACAGTCTTGGACCAAATCATCTAAAATGGGATTTGAAAGGATGGCTTTTTGCATTTCCAGTAATGCCCCAAATGGCAGCTGTGACTCTCGCTGCAGACTGAGGCATCTCACATGCAGGTGTAACCATGCGCACCCCTTCCAAAATCTAGCACAGGAGACAACTGGCTGAGCAGAGATCAACAAACTGTCAGAGCGGCCAGAAAAACCAACCACTTAGTCAGTTACTCAATGTTATTAAACGCAGGTTGAGCCAGTTTTCACTGTCAGCCTCAGATTGCGTGCTCCGGCGACCCAGTGCATCGAGCTGGAAACACGTATTGGTATTTTCTCAAGGCACAAGAATCCTGCGTGCTCAGCCACGCTCGTCAGCTGCTCTGGGGCTCCTGAAGGTGAGGTGTCGTTCCCACTCATACACTAAAGCTGCTCAGGTTTGCCTGTGCTCATGGACAGGAGAAAATCAAGGTGATCAGAAAATGCATCAGAGGTGCAACATGCCCACAACAGTAAAACTTCAACCAGGGCAAGATGCTGAAATGCCAAGTTAGGGCACAGCAGCCCCGGGCTACAGGCAGGACAGTGGTACAAGGGTCGCAGTTGTGAACTGCTCGCTGGAGGCACTCTGGGCTGTAGCTGGAGAAGGACCTAAGGTGATGAGGCATCTAAGGTCAGTGTCTAAAATTAAGTGGAATAAATCTGGACTTGCATATGCAAAACAACATGTTCACATTTACAAATATGATACTTTCACATTCATACTTTGTACCTACTTTTTGAGACACAGCTGACAATATCCCTAGTTAAAAATGATTTAATGATGCTGCTCAACTATGAATATAAAATTTGTAATCAGCAGAATGGGTGATTTTTTTTAGCATTCTTTCTAAGGCTTTTTTTTCTTTTTTTGCATGTGCAGGTAAACCTAAAAAATTAAGTTCAAATAAAAAAAAAACCAGTAAATTCAAACTTGAAATACACCTCTTAAAAAATATTTTTGTTTAGTATTGTAAAAATGCAGAGGTTTGCGTCTATTAATATAAAATGTTTTATTTACAATTAATTTGATTATAAAACCCAAATGCATTCTGAAAAGCACAAGGCCCTTATTTTGGAACCAATAAAACACTCAATATACATTAAAAAAAACCCAACATATGTACCTACATGCACATGTTTACAGGAATGTGAACACATATTTTCACTGTTCTATTTGCTAAAATAGTTTCTCGTTGTTTCTTTCACTGAATGGCCGGGAATCTGAGAGCATCTTTTTTTTAAGATGCCAAAATCAACTCCATTCTGAGAAACCTAGTTAGTTAGCCACGGTATTATAATTAGTTTTATTTATGAGAACTGTCTTGTTTTCCTGAGACACTGAGAATCACTGAGTATATTCAGCCTATCTCCTCCAATATATATACATTAATAGCTCCAGTGTATAGCAAGGAAACAAAATCCTGCATTTACATAACCTGAATCCTGGTACTAATAGGGATTGTTTTGGGGTTTTTTTGCCACAGAAACAAGGCCACTGCAAGAGACATTATAGTAAAAAGGAAGAAAAATTAATAATTACTTGACAAAGAAGCAAATGAAAACTCCATCACTGTTCCAGGAGGTTGTTTCCACGGCAGGCACACCTCACAGAGCTAGATCTTCAACGCACATCAGAAAAAAGCCCCATGCGTACCTTTTGTTACTGTTTCTGGTTTGCAGTGTAACCTCCCACTGATGAACATAAAATAATCAATTCAGGTGAAAATTAATTTGCTAAATGATATTTCAAGGGAAAATAGTTTACCTATATGTTCCACAATATTTTATTAGCTTAAGTAAAAGGAGGAAAAAATTAACTCAGCCATGGTAGTTTTTTGTTTAAGTTTTTTCATTTTTATGCAGTGCCTCCACGAGGACCAGATGATTTAGGCT